TTTCTAATATTTGAATAAATATTTAATACATATTTTAAATAAATATATATATACATTTTATTTAAAATATTAATTTGAGTAAACATTAATATAAAGTATTATTAAAATAGAATAATTTATAATATTTAATTATAGCAGAATCTTCAGACTTAAAAATTATGAATACATAAAAAGTCTATACGAGTTAGAAGTGTATTTAATTTCATATTAAAATATTTTCAATTATATTATATAGTATGACTACAAATCAAATTATTTAGTTAAGATCTAAATACAGCTGCTATATATATATATAATGTATACAATTGAAAAGGATGCAAAGTTTACTGTCATTGTCTATTATTTTATTTTTTTTTTTCATTTTGAGCATAAATGAAAATTGGTATCATTGCATATATATATATATACTTATACATTCATTTACTTGGATACAAGATTTAAACACATGGAGATATGCGAATAGTATCACCGCATTACTTACTTGGATAGAAGACTAATCTGTCACAGTCACATTGTAACGTAATGATTCAAATAAAATTTCGAACAGCTAAGCTATTCTCCGTATTTAATACACATTCTCCTTTAAGTCTGGAGGATAAAGGAAAAGTAAAGGCACTCACTCGGGTAGAGAACTGTCACAACCACATTCAAACATAAAAATTCAAATGAAACTTTAAACAGCTAACCTATACACCGTATTTAATACACATTCTCCTTTAAGTCTAGACTGTAAGAGAGAAGAAAACAAGTTCCTCATTTATAAGTGTACCATGAAATAAATTTGAACAAAGATCCCGAATTATTTAATAACGCCTGTTTATCAAATACAGAAATATAGCAAAGAGGTAAACTGAAAATACCAAAAATAATCATAGCACCAACGTGCTATGTCAGAGACGAAAACACTTGCAACGATCTAAAGATCTATAGAAGTTAACTTTTTGGACAAAAAATATTCGTTAAATAATCAAGTATTATGTTGAAGCTGTTTAAACCAGTGCACTTAAACGCTTTTACTCTTTATTAACTCGAGGTATTTTCAAAACCCCTCTTTACGCGACCCTACTTTGTTAGTACAACGTCCTGAGCACACATTTTCTCATCGTTTCTTCTGGCTTTGGCATGCCATTATGCAGGTATCCAAAATAATAAGTAAGTTTTTAACATAGATATATTATATGGCACATACGATTGCATAAAACACTGATGGCTTGTATCTATCTTGACGCACTTGTCTAATTCAAACTTTGTTCAGCATAAATACTACTTGTTTAAGTAAAATATGTTGGTCTATGCAAACATGAAATATTTATCTTATCACTACGAGTTTCACATTGACTTTTTTTCAAAATTTTAATCAAATTTGTTTCTTTGCATATTAAATGGTTTAGTAAGAAAACCTTATTTGTTTTATTTTTATGATTATTGGTACGGGATTTGCCAGTGTTGGGAAGTTTTGATAAGCACGCTCTATTTGCTTAATCTTATTACCTCTGCCCTATCAGGTATTTTATTTTACTTAAACCAAGTGAAAGTATAACTCATAAAATTTGCAGCTCACGTGCGAATTTATGTATGAATATGCACACTGTGAGCAGCTCACATGGAGTACAAGTGGCGGGTGTGGGTCATACTAAAAATGGTAAGTAACATTTTATTGCAAAGTTTAAAATGCGCTAACACACCTGACTATTACCTTAAATATACACGCAGCCACACATGAAATACCAAGTCATGACCAACAATTTTCATAGTTCAAACAGAGAAAAAATTGCTTCAAAAATTGCTCGCATATTTTTATTGCATACTTCTGGGCATTTTACCGCCACGTTCCATTTGTGCGGCGTTAATTTATATTTAATATGATTTCGCAACAGTTTCGCACATTCAATATTGCTTTCGCTTACGTTAAATAAAATAATTTTATTATATTTAAGCATTTTTCAGTTTGCTTTATGCATTTTAGTTAAATTAAATTTATAAATTAAATACACACAAAGAATTAAAAACGAGTAGTAAATATTGCATATGAGCTTTTCTTTTTTTCTGAAAGCAACTTCTGTTTCATATGCATTTACCTTGGGCAGTGATTTCAACAAATCTAAAACTAATTTGAATAATTATTTAGTTTCAGTGAATAAAAACTATGCTATGACGTACGTAAATCCAGGGTGAAAGTACATGAAATCACTAAAAATACGTATTTTTATTTAAGGAAACAATTTTGCTCAATTTTAATTCTACAAGAATTTCAACGTGATGAATGAGGATAAAATAGAAAACTGTTAAAAAAAATTGCTTAATGTGCTTTTATATCCTTTAATTGCTATAACAAAGTTTATCAAATAAATTTCAGAACTTAAGGTGTTCTAATTCTAATCCTTGGCTTCATTATCAAAGACGACAAAGAATCCAAAGTTGTTTAAAGTTATGCCTGCCACAAACCCCCAACACCACGGTGTTCTAAAAACACACGTATCAAGAAAATCCACCGATAAACGCTCCATTAAAAATTCTAAGAAATTTCTACCGCCACCAATTTCAGTTTTGTGTTTGACATACCATTCCTCTTGGTAAAGAACGAGGCCCACCAATACCCCTGTTGGTCTTTGGATCACAGCACTCGATGTGAATACGCAGATACACCCCGAGTGAAGTAGAATACAATCTTTTTTCCCACATAAGTTTGAGTTTAGCCACAGCCACCACCGCACTTCCAATCTCAATTCGCCAGGACAACCGAAGCTGCGGGCACTGCCCCCCGTGGTAACAGATACATAACTCCAGACGGGTGTTGCAAGTGAAACACAGCAAACAATGTCGGAATGGTGCCGGAATGGTCCCGGAATTTTAGTCGCATCTAACAACAGGCAAGCTCTACATCTGGAATATTCTAATATTTCACCACAGTGGGAATGACAAAAACGACAACTTGGAACAATTGAATTGCAACTTTAATACGAATCAAACGAATTATAGTCAAGCCAACGGTTTTGAAAAATTTTGTTCTGTACGCCATACATCAAATTAGATAGATATTTGAGATATCAAGCTTTAAAGTTGTTAATTTTTAAATGAAAACAAGAAAATCTGCCGCATTTATACTTTGTTATCCATCGTTTGGCGTGCAATGTTGTCATCCTAGATTTATTGTCTAATCAACTGATATTCTTCTGATTATTGGAGTAATTCGTTACTATGTATAGATACAAATTTGAAATTATTAAAGTCTTTGAAGATCAGCATATCTGCCACTGGAGTCAAAAAAATTTGCCGTTCCTACAAGTTCAACTCTTCATTCTGAAGAGTTTCACAAAGCCAAAGAGCTTGAGGGCTCTGTCTCTACTATATTACCAAATGTTTGTGTAATTTGTGTAAAACCTTGAAATCTCGAAAAGTAAGCATTATCGACTTATAGTTTAATATAGCTATTGTTTACACAAAGCCCTTTAAAGGTTTGTGAACAAAGTCCAGAACTAAATCTAGAAAAGAGTTCATAATTTATTCTGGTGACAGAAATTCCATATGAAAAAGTTTCTTCTGTGTGTTGTTATAGCTGTACAATCACAAAGAATGTGCATAGCAGTTTTCTTATCTCCGAGGCATAATCTTCATTCCGAATTAACAGATAATTGTAATTTATGAAAGTGATATTTCAGACCATAATGTTCTTTCATGTAATCTGTTATCAATCTTTATGTTAATTACCTTTTAATAATTTAAGAATGTTTTTGTGGAAATAGGGTGTGATCAGTGCTTTGCTTTGTCTAAGTCCTGGGAAGTCTTCCCAGTACAGCAGTCATATATAGTTTACCCTTTCTTGATTACTTGTTTTTCACTAGCCCAGTTTAACTCACAAAAGGGTTGAGGACCTGTACATAAACTTACATATTCTTACATTAACTTAAACGTTGTAAGGACTAATGCCTTTTCTATTTTGACAAAACTTTTAGAAATACTTAACTGAAATTCTGGTTTTGATTGATTTAACTTTGTACCTGTTTCGAAAATAACTCACTCATCTTTAAAGATGTTTACCGTCTCTAATCGTATATAAGAACTTCTATTAATTTTCTATCAAGTGCAACCCATGCCTAACCAAACTGATGTCATTACACATGTAATGTTGAAACTGACCGCCTAAACTAGGATTTAAAATTTTTGATATTTGCGCGCAAGATGTCTACTAAAAGCATTAAACATTTGCGTCTTAGGAGGGGACGTCTTGACGTCTACCGATATGAAAATAAAGATTAAGCTGCGTATCGCCAGCAAATGAAGTTTATAAAGATTATTGTTTGATTCGCAGGAAAATATAAATTTAATAAATAACTAGTACTGATATAGAGCTATTGATATTAAGACTCCAAAAGAGTATAAAACAGAGGAGTGATTCAGATTTAAGATAGATTTCGATCGAATTTTTACTAACTTTCTTATACTTCGATATTTTATATTGCTGAATATATCATCTGATGTAAATACATACAAATCTGTTTGTTTATATATTATTAGGTACATATATATTTAAATTCACAATACATTTTAATGACAATTGTGACAACAGAGATTATTTTACTTAGTTGTTGTTGTTGTTGTGGTTTCTTGAGTTAGTGCTATTGCGCACTTTTACTCCTTTGTGGCTGGGGGGGTGGTCTTATCCCTGTCGCACACTAGGTTTTAACTATGCAGAAATTCATATCGTTTATTTATCTTCTAATTGATGATGAACCGTAGGGTCCTGAAGTGGACTTACGGTAGTTAAGGTAAATTTATGTAATTATTTTCTTATTATATTACTTTTTTGTCTTCAAATAAACTTCTCTTCATAATAATAAGGATATATATAATGTATATCTTGTGGATATATATATATATTTTTTTTATATTTTTTCCTAATTTACTACTTTACTATTTTTCCAAAAAATGAGTAAATCAACTGTCATATAATTTAAATCTAACAAAAAAATTTTTTTAATAAAAATAAATTTTAGCAGAATTTTGTAGAATTTAATCACACTAATTCACTTAAATATAAGAAAATTGTTAATTAAGAATTTCTACACTTAAAAAAACAACAAATGAAAATCTGTGGTCCAAAGTTGTCACTCTGTGGCTTACTTATTTCTATTTGGGGACTCGTACAATTGGTATGTATCAGTAGAATATAATCATTATGCAAATTAAAAAAATTTGTAAATATATCATATTTTTTCTCTATTTTAAATTTACGCATAAATGAAGGCATTCATGGGTCTATTCTACTACCTACAGAGTGTTTCACTAATTCAGGATTTGCCTTTGGAAGAACATTACGATACACTAGAGATGTTCTATGATGCTGCAAGTGATGCTTACTACCAGGTTAGCTTATATGTTAGAAGTAAACCGATTTTACAATTAGTCTTACTTTAGTCTTAATTTATTGATATTAAATGGAAAGTTTAAGTGCACTACCATTTAGTTAGAACCGTCATTAGCAATCATCAAATTTTTGAAAATATTTATACAATAAAGAAATCATTATAAGATGCATACAGCAACCTCATCAAAATATTACGGTTAGGTTCACTAAACTTATATAGAAAATATTATATGATATCTGCTTATTCAATCTGAATGCACTATCTATGCTGTAGTAACTAAAACTCTTGGTATCTTTTTTAACGTATTTTGAAGTTTCTATTTAATGAATATAAATTTTAAGGAAATATGGTGTATATATCACACATTTTTTATTAGATACTAAACACATTCCAAACAACTTGCACGGTTGTTAAAAAAATATATTCCATAAAATGAAGAATATACCATTCATTCAACTCATCTACTAGTGTCATGCTGGTGTCAGAAAATGGCTACAGTACATCCTCCTGACTTTTATTAAAAAGAATGCGATCTCTAGTCCTGCACAAAAGGATGTTGTTGCATTGTCAGACCTAAACTAATTTAAATTAAACTAAACTAAAACTAAAATTAAAATTGTGTTTCTAATGGTGCTTCAACCACCATTAAAAATTATATATGTTGGGACGTTGGGACAGCGCACTGTCCAACAAATGGCTCCACTGAGTTGATGGATTAGTCGAAGTAGACCACGAAACTCCTTGGGTCCTTTTACGTCCTTCGATCCTTCGACCATTAGAAAACTGAAAGCTCTAAAAAATATTGTATTGTATCGTATTGTACATATGATATGATATATCAGAAATAAAGACACACACGAAGACTTGAGAGTCCAGAGTGTGCTAAAGTATATTAAAGGCAGAGCGCTGAAATTGTCTCATTCAGTGGATGTTCATAATAATTCAGAATTGCGCTCTTTTGAAATAAATGCGATATATATTCCTTCAGAAAGATATGCTGGGCTTGAAACTACACCTTATAGAGGTGTCCTTAATAACTAATTATCAAAATTTAATGAAGCTCCTGTTCTAATAAATAACCCAAGCGATCACAGACAACATTGAGTAGAACGATAATAGAACGAAAGTAATTGGTTGGGGTCTTTTGTGGTTCCCGTTAAAAACACGCATTGCCTATATTTATAGTTTAATAAAGTTTAAGGAAGTAGAAACGTAATATAAAAATTATAATTATATATACATATAGTAACTGACTGACTGGTGTAACTCCTCAGAAAACCATAAACGCAGCCTGCGCTTCGGGTCTTTTTGGAATGGTTTTAAAGTTGATACTTTGAATGCTTAATTTTGTTAGGGCATTAAAATAAATGATATCTTGAAAGCACTTTAAATTCTTATAATATATTAAAAAAGAAGAAATAAAATTTAACCCAATTTATTTGTTTTTGTATACAATTTCTTTTTGGATTAACTTAAAAAATTTTTATTTTTTAGAACGCCTACAACTGTTGGGTTGCCGCCTTCATCTATCTGATTACATTAGTTCTGTCGATACATCAATACCGCGTCAACAAGAAACCACCCAAATTCCAACCAAGAAAGGTATCAAGAGGAAGTATGAATAAGGAAATCGTCAGGCGCTAGATATGATATTTTTTATTTCTTCCTATTTTGATTTTCAATTACGAATTCGTTTAAAATATTTGCCAAGAAATCCCTATAATAATTATAGCCAATTTATTATCCAACTTGTCAATTTCACTTTTTTAATTTAATCGTTTTCAGTAGCTTTTTTGTCAAAACCTTTTTTTTTGACAAATAAAGCGTTAAATATATATCAAGAAATACTTCATACGAATCTAGTATACATACGCTCTATATATTATATTATATATATAGAATGTTTCGAATAATCTTTGTTAAATTTTACATCTTGGTTTTATTTGAAATTTAACACACTTTTATTCAATAATATGTATTTTATATACATATATAAAATATGTATGTATATATCATTCATATATATTATATAAACGTTTATATAATAGATATGTGAAAGGTAATTATACAGGGCTATCCATTTCCTGATTCTAAGAGCAAGCATAGATAAAACTTATTAGTTATTCGATCAAACTTTTTATTTTAATATATTTTTTAAGCCTTGATCTTAGGTGTAAAACACAGAATCAATCAAATATTTTCTACAAGATATCCTATTTTACAGGATCTTATAATACTGAAATCTTTTGAGGTAATTTCCGATGATTTGTCGCCAAAAATATGACAACATTTCAATCATAATTTTTCATACATAACCCTAAAAGTTGTTTCCGGGTCGACTTCGAGGATTGTCTATATAAACACCACTCTTTACGTAATTACAAACAAGGTCCAGTAGTAACAAACCACATAATTTTGTTAGTCAATAAATAAAGATATAAAAAAAGATTATACAACTCGGAAATCTTAAAGTTCTGCCTTTAGTCCGCTGAAATAAATGATTATATCTCCTCGTAATTCACAAAATGCACCTATTAAAAAATCACCGACTTTGTAGTAAGAGTTCCGAATTTAAGTAGGTTCAGCACTTGCTAAACGACCCATATTGCACAATGGCAAACCTTAAATTAAGAACATGTGGACCTGGATGCGGGTTTTGTTTTACATATGCCAATAAAAGTGTTGCCAAATTAATGCCACGGAATAGATAACTCTTTATTAATAATATTGAAAATATCCTACAAAAGATACTAGGAAAGGAAAATGCTATTCATTTTCTTGCGCCGATATAAAATCTGGAATCTTTATTCGATTATTTGAAGGATATAGTATGTTACTTTCAATCTCTCTTATATTTATGTGCCACTATTTACTTAAATAAAATTGAACTCAATACTTTCGAGACCGTGAAAAACTATTGAAATATTAGTTTGACAACGCCCATCACATTGGTCACTGTTGTCCTGGTCCGTTTTCGTTTCCGTCCAGTTTACTTTTAGTCTGTTTTTGGTGAATAGAACGAGAACGCAATACAATGCCACACACCATCCACCGCAGCACTAGTCAACTCAATGCAATGAACTCCGCACAACTCAGCACAGTTCAGCGCATTTTCCGCACAGGACACAGCGTGACGCAGTGCATCAATTGTCATGGGACCTAGACGTGGGAGCACAAAATTTAATTTTGTTTTATATCAAAAGGTGTTTTTTATTATTAAAATTATAAATGCAAAATGAAAAAATGCGCAAGGAATAAAAACACATTTGATGCAAACCCGCCGCAAATGCTGCGGTAATGTCATTAATATTTCAAAGGCTTGTCCTGTTACGTACACGTTTGCCGTTGTTTATTTAACGAATCGGTTGATTTGTTAAATGTGGTCATTTTAATTTAATAAATGCAACAATTTACCAAAAGTAGATTAAAATTCAGTTTTGTGCAAATTTATGCCAATTTCGATGAATGTATTACTACATGTAAGCGTTTCATGTGTAAATATTTAACAAAATTAAAACTAAAAAAAGTTTCCATTATCTAAATTCTCTTTTTTCGCTATGAAAATAGAATATTAAAGGGATAGATTGAAAGCATTAAAAGCTAAGTGCCTAAGTGACCAATAAAACGCTTAAAAATTGAACCTAAAAAGGACTGTAAAATTATTCGATAACTTGATAATAATCATTTCAATATTATTTATTGTGAAATCGAATAACACGTAAAGACACAATACTTAATTATCATTAGTATTTTCATATATACTAATAAAATTGTTGTTATAGTATAGAATATATATAAATAGTATATAACATAGTATAGCATATACCAGTTCAACAACATATAACTGATGCTTTCTTACGCAAACACCTTTATAAGTGGAGCATTTTCTTCCATTCGAGTGACATGATCAAGCCAACGAAACCGCTGAATTTTCGTATGCTTAACTATCACAGCATAGCTCATACAGCTAAACATATTATCCAATTCGATTCGATACTCGTCACCAATGCGAGAGTACCGCAGATCTTCCGAAGAATTTTTTGTTTTGACTGCGCCCTAACGCCTTCTCATCACTATTGGTCTAAGCTTCTACACCATACAACAGGACATGCATGATAAGAGTATTATCATGTAAAAATTGATTTCTTTTTATCACATCTTATGTTAAGGTTTTCCGAGTTAGCGCAACTGGGCACTTTAACTCCTTCTTAGCTAGGTTTATACAGAGTTCTTCCGTTCTCTTTGATTAATTTATGTATTCCTTACAAGCTTCGCTGATTATTCAATGACTGCTCTAAGTTCTTCGTACCGCCCCGTGTGGCTACTGACTGCTCTGAGATTATATAGTGTTATGTAGAGCAGCCTGTCAATTTTCGCATAAAGTTTCATATATTTTTTGATCGGGTATTTTCTGAATTCATGCGGATGTACCATGGCACTTTAAAAAGTCTTCGCAAAGCCTAACTGTGAGCAACTTGTAGCTCCTGGATAGTGAAATTGGCAACTTTGCTATACGCGACTCACCCGTAAAGAAATACAGGTCTGATTATCTGTAGGTCAACTTTCACTATTTCTCAACACAGAGCTTTTTCAATACATCTATTCGATATTATGCCGACTATATTAAAACGATGAATGGAAATCGATGGAATCTATGTTATCAAACCATGTTATTAAACCATGTTATCAAAAACATTTATCTATTCGTTATAACTCAAGTATATTGTTAAAGAATAATAAAAATATTGTTAAGTTTTTCAATTTATGCCAGAAAATTAACAAGGAACTTTAACAGTTTTACGGATATTGTTACAGACATTAATATATCCCTATTAACAATATTTAATCCTTTTTTTCTTTGGTGGTCGTAACAAATAGTTTCCATTGAACTCTATCTAATGCAAGACATTTTGCTTCCACCAGCTCTTTCTAACGATTCTTAATTTGGTTTCAGTTTGTCTCTTCCAAGTATTGTGTGGGCGCCCAGGTCTTATACTGCCTTAAGGGTTGAAATCTAAGACTTTTTGTTGCGATATCATCAGCGGAATTCCTTAAAGTATGTGCAAGCCATCTGTATTTACGCGTTATTGTTTTTTCCGTTATAAGAAGCTTATTCGTTCTAAACCCGAACTCACTATTGGTTATGGTTGCTGGCCATAACAAAAGCAAGAGATATTCGCAAACCCGCTGATTACTTTCTATGTATTATGACAACAAGACAACATTACATATAACCTATAATCCGAAATCTTAAGAATAAAACTTTTTCGGAATACGGGGTAATGAAAAAACATATATGGAAAAGTGAAATCTACCGAAATCCAACATCGACCATCCATCATGGAATTAAGCCTATTTGGATCAGTACAATGAACCGTTACAGTTGCAGTGTTGTTTCGGTTTCTTTCTTTAAAGAATCACGGTCTATAAACCTTCGAAAAAAACTTCTTAATTTGATGGGCATTAAGTCTAAGTAACTTAATAACAAGCATATCATTTTCTTAATTTAATTTTAGTGCTGACTACACACTGAATAATAATTTAGTTGATTTAACCAGATTTTAACTAAATCTCAGGTTAAAATATTCTCACTCGACTCATCATGTTGGTTCAGTCATACCTCATATTAGTCATCATATCTTCTTTACCACATGAGCTATAATGTTTCTAACAAAGTGATTAGGTCAATTTAACTAGTATGTGGTTAAAGCATATTTTTCTGGGTTTATAATAGTTAGTTACTAACAATCTTTTATTGAATAAATATTAATATTAATCAATATTAGGAATTCTCCTGATGAAGGCAAAAGCGAATTTGCAGAAACACGTGTAGAGATACACAAAAAAAACTTTCGAAATAAAAGTTAATATATTTTAAAAAACAAAAATAACCGCATTTAAACAATTTCGAAGTAACGACTCAAAAATTAAAACAAAAATAAATTTAATCTAAATTAAAAACTAATAAAAAACTAATAACTAATAATTTTTAGTCTATTTTTATAGAATATGTTAAATGACTTATTAGTTTACGCAATGCAAGTCGTCAGTTCTTGACATTCCCGAATGCATAATTAAATGGCAATTAAAAAAGAATTTTAGATATAAATAACATATGTTTAGAAAATAAAATCGTACAAAAATGCGATGCATTTGGAATCATTTGTAAATTTCCATTTCATTGGCACACTTGAGCCCGTTACTTCCTTTTAGTTGCGCGAATCCTTCGTCGAAAGTTCTCTACTTATTATCTGAGCAATATTTTACAATATTACAAATTACACACACTGACTACATTAGCAAGTAACTATTAATAATAATTTCTAATAATTTTTAACAAATACAAGCGAACTCGTTGTTAAAGAGTTACATCCTTTAGGAAATTATCTAATATTATACATACACATAACTATGTATCTGTGCAGAAATTGTATTTATACTATGTATATGTACTACTTTCACAAAGAGATATAGTAGCTGCTGTCATCTAGTACCAGTGAAGCTCCTTTGTTGTTGATAACAATGTAAACTGCAAAATACAGACCGCAAGTAGCAGCACTTTCACCACACCAATTTAATAACTAGCAGCATGAGTCTTGGCTATGGAGTGTAACTGCACCATAAGGAACCTCATCGGCCACATCATTAATAAAATACTCTTGATAATAGTGACACAAAAATGGAGCATAATAAGAGTACAAGCAGGACACATTATCCTGGCAGACAAACATTGAAGCAACTAAAAAGTTCCATCAAAACCGCAGTCACAGTTTTAGCCACAACAAAATTTAAACGCACACGCAACTTCACAAAGAGCAAACTTATCTTGTGAAAAAAAAATGAATTGTAAAAAAGTGAAACATTAAAATAAAAATAAAAATAAAAAACGTGAAAACAAAGTTTAATCCACAAGCGCCCCTGTCAACACGCATAACTTTTAATGGATGGCAAGGAGACTCCACAAGCCCACACATAACCCGATACATATATCTTTTGCTTAATTACTTCAAATATTTATAGTTGGAAAGCAAATACTGCAGATACTTACTGCAGCACTGGTTAAAGTATCTTAGCTGTAGAATATATACACAAGGATTATAATAACACAGTTATTTAACTATCAGAGATCAATTTAATAATTATGTATCTAATTCAATTACATCTATTATAATAATTCAGTTCATTGTTTATGTTATTTAACCCAATCAATTAAAGAAAAATAAAGGATGAGCCAAGATCTCTAAATTTTGCAACTCTAAATTCTATATTAACAGCACTTAGTTTCCAATATAATTAGTACTAAAACGACATCAATAAATTAAAATCTCCACCAGCAATTTAAAAACGATTTGGCGAAGAACAGTGTAATCCAAAAATATAACAACGGATAACTCATTTTACTCCCTGGACTCATAGAAGGTAGGTGGAACTTATGGATAGGTAAAGTTAAAGTTGAAGGAGGATGAAATCCTTCTCAATTAGTTAAGGAGAACTTTAGGACTCATAAAGTCTAAAGTATAGAGTCTACTCGCATATTGCAAGTAGATGGATAGGTGAAGTTAAAGTTGAAGGAGGCTGAAATCCTTCTCAATTAGTTAAGGAGAACTTTAGGACTCATAGAGATAGGTAAATAGGTGAAGTGGAACAAGGGTCACATCCTCTGCATTTAGCTCAGAAAGCAGTTTTAATTCAACATTCCTCGTAAATGTGGATATAAAGTTGGGTGTATTAGAATCAGTCAGACGTATTGTTTAATTTAAAATATCTGAACAATGTTACTAATATTGGATATATCACTGAGTAAATTAAGGAATGTGGTGCCAAAAAACCTAAGCCTGCACATAAAAAAACTAGATGTTCCGCTATTTTCTCCTCCAGCGCTGGTAGACATGTACCACAAGAAATTCGATAAGGTAGACATAGCTTGGCTTCATGCAGTACAATAATCTCGTATTGTCTAGTCTAGTATTTTACTTCTATGGACTAAGTCCAAGAATGTGTTTATGGAGTATAAAGACCACTCAGCTACTAAAGAAGTATTAAGCCAATTTCTAATGGCTGACTTATTTAAAATCATTAAAGAACAAACTGAGGGACCAAAACACTAAAAAAAAGTTTTCGTACAGACCAAAAGAAAATAGACACCCGATTCATGTTATAAAAACCTTGATGGAATGTTGACAGGTCAAAAAGAGTGTAAAGTTCTGCATTGCAAAGAAATATATACGGAACGAATTCATATAGTATGTTGTAAATGATAATAAAATATTGTGTTTTCAATATGAGCCATAAACGAAACATCATTTAGCCGATGAAATTGGCAGAAAATTGAAAATTGAAAAGAGAAAATTATAAAATTATGTTTACAGAAGAGCAAAATCGAGACATATCACTGTTCCCCTCAATTCAAAGAAAATTGTTCACAATAAGTTCGAGTCTAAAAGTCAGATGGAGAAGAACCTATATTATTATTTGGTAGTTCAGAAATGATTATAGGGCCAAATTCGATTAGTTTAAATTTGCTATAGAGATCAAGTCAATAGGTTCTGTTGTACTACATAGTACCATTCTATAAAGGCATTATACTATGTAAATATTTGTCGATGATTCAACATATTCACCTGTTTTCATCCGTGGAACTGGGTACTCTCCAAACTAAAATTAACGAGCTTATTAAATGGTTTCTGTATCATACCTGTCATCCAAAGAGCTTTGGATCGACGAACTAAAAGTAATTCCGGACGATGAGTATGAAAAATGTTTGGTAAAATTTATTAAACGTTTTCCGCACTCTATTGAATTGTAATGGAACTATTTTAAATAAACGAAAACAAAAATTGAAATCATAAACGCTTTGTATTTTTCTAGACTAGTTTCACCACATATGGAATAGAATGTGTATGATAAAATAAAATAAGAAAAATAAAATGAAAAGAAAACATTTTTCTATGAACTATTTCATATTTCAGTATGCTATTGGACATATAAAGGGTTCAGTATACTCTTTATATGATTGACTGCAACAGTGTGCGGAATAATAGATGTTTTATATAAATTATTTAAAAAATATGTAAAGAAAAATATCAAAATATCATATAAAATATACATAAAATTATACAATAAATAATGCGACTATAAAAAAAATAGTATTGAAATTTAATTAGTAAAAATAAAAAATATAATTAATTAATTTATTTATTCTACAGCTGGTTCATAATTTCGTTCTAGTATAACACACCAATTAAATTTGTTAATAAACTTTCATAACAAATTAACAAAACTTCAAGTTCGAACATATAAGCCAAATACGGCTTTGGATCAGTTGGCTATTGAACACCAACTCTAAGTTTCAAATTTGGCAGGGCACAAGTTCGATTTCTGATACTTGTAGTTTCAAACAATTTTTTACGAATAATTAAATATAAGAAATAATTCCAACACCACTGATAATAGGTTGTTATACTCGAAACAGCTGTATGGTCAGCCAAAAAATCTATTAATTATAGTATCAATAATAGTTCATATTAAGAATTTACTTTCTTTTATCATGAAAAACGTTAAAAATTGGTTTAATAAGAAATATTTGGAATATATATATTTTAAATTTTTCAAGCTAATGCAGAAGAAAACTTTACTTTTTCAAATACATAGTAAATATATAGATTTCAGAGATATATTTAAATATTAGCACTAATTAGTGTTTCATCAAGCACTAGCTCTTATCTTATGTACAAGATTATCATACAAACGTTTATCAAATTCTATTCATTCTATTATTGTTAGAACTATGTATTATCATAACCTGATTTGTCTGATTTTAATATTTGAATGGTTAATGCAATTGACGGATTCAGTTAATATGAAACCATAGCTTTGCTAATAAACAAAAATTAAAAATTCTTTTATTAACAAGCCTATACTTTGCACGAGTTTTAGCAGTATAGTACTATCCACTAAATAAGATAGGCTATTTAGTGGATAGGATAAGAGGATTTTGTTTTTTTAAGTAACATTTTTTCCTTTATATTTGTCGAATTAATTGTGATAGTGTGTAAGTCTCACACTATCATAATTACTTCGACAAATATAAAGGTGAAAATATTAAAATATATTACGTACAATAGATCTTTTAGGTTGGGGCGCATTCATAGCCTATTATTTAATAATAAGTCTTTACTTTAATTAAAAACTGTGATCTTAACTGGGTTTTGCACTAAATTTTTTTCACTTACCTCACTGTCATTACTGTGCAATATCAACTTAAATCCAGGTAACAAATTTTGTTCTTTATTAACATCATCCAATGCCAATCTTGCTGCCGGCATACATGCCTGACCACCCTGCCATCCTCCCTTGCCGGCTATGGGAAAAATGCCGCCTATATGCAGTTCGTCCGGCCGGCCACCGTTTGTGAAATTAACATTTTGTAAAATAAGTGAAAAAAGTAAAAATATCCAAAATGCTACAACACCATCACATGTCATATCCTGTAAGTAAACAAATTAAAATGGAGTTAAGTGAAAAATATTACAAATACAAATATTTAATAATATGTGAAGTTATATATACATATGCATATGATTGTATATTAATATTACGTATACTATATACAATGTATATATTCGCTTGTTGAAGTTAAATTTAATATCAAACATAATATGTAAATAACAACATATTTATTTACATAGGAGTACATACTCATATTGCCTAATTAAAAGGATATTCATAATTTTTCATAAATATCAGTTAATAAAATAACTGTTTAATATGCAATATTATTCCATTTGTGAAATAATGCAATAATTATACAAACAAATTAATTGCGTACTATGCAGTTGCATTACTGTAATTGCCACCCAACTATATTAATAATTTATTAAAAAATATTGTTATAATTACCATATATAAAAAAAATTCTAAATTTAATTATTTTCATGACTACACACTGTAGGTTGTTATCAGTTGTGACTGTAGTGCTGGAAAATAGCACTTTTATTACTCCCTCAGCATTTCGTAATTTGGTTGAATTGCAATTTCCAGCTTTCGATGAAGAAAAAATTTTATAAATTTTGTGCGGAATTTTCACTTTAATTACAACAAAATTTCAACAAAATATTAGCATTAATAAAAAAGTCGTTATTCGAGCTATTTATTTCAGGATTTTATAACGTAATTTGTTGAACTGATGAGTGTGGAAATGCGATATCACAGCTAAGCGAGTACCGCTCAACTGCAACGTACAAATATTTATGATAAATAAAAAGTATTCACACTTACTTTAACATACGTCAGAGTTTATATAAAATAATTAATAAACTTTAATTTAGAAATCAGCAATTTATCACTTAATTAAATTAATTGATTAGTTAGCATTACTGCATAAAATGTGTGATAATAATAATTACAAAAAACCTTTGATAAACACATGTGTATTCACATATTTAAAAAATTAATTAAAATTCTGAATCCTCGCGATATGAAAAAGTAAAGCCATCGCAAGATTTTGATAGTACCCCTCTTTGTTAGAGACAATGTTAAGGACTACTTCCCCTGCTAGTGTAGCTTTAAAAGTGACTAAAAATCACAAAAGCAATTTTTTTATATATTTCCTATTCTTTTTTATGTCTCTTCTCTCTTTGCGACACACGTTTGTCTAATTTAATACAATAAAAATAATTTCCTGATTCAAAAAAGAACTAAATTATGATATATGTTTAAACCAAAAATTATCAATCAATCTTAACTTATTTCATTGGCATAAAAGCCGGCGCAATTAAGTACTTCATGACTATACTATCCTATCCTTGACCCTATCCTCCACCCCTTGTTTATAAGCAAATTGTGCTATGGACTTTAACTTTATCAGTGAATTTAAAAGCGATAAAGTCAAACTTTTTGTAAAAAAAATTCAAATAGTTCTATGTCAGATAGGTCTAGTTTTTAAATCGCGCTTGATCGCATTCGTTGAGGTTTTTGATAAAAATTGTTGCACAATGATGACATCCCACTTCAACTGAAATACTCGCGTCACTAATAAAAAAATTAAAATCAATTTTAAAAAACGCCTTTCAGCTTTTAAATGCTACTTGACAAAATTTCATGACATTCAAATCATTTCTCAATTAGTAACAACTGCTTTCGTGTCACTAGTTTTTATATTTTCAAAAAAAATATATAAAAACAAAGCTATTTCTTATCTTAATTTGTCAATGCTTTTGATGAAAAGCAATCGGATCAGCAAAAGCTGGGCTTGATAAGTGTTACTCGGACTGACTTTAAAGGCGGCCGTACAAACTCCATGAACATTTGATTATGTAAAAGCTCTTTTAGAAGTTGATGCCGCATTTTCGTTTAGACAAACGCGCTTAGAAGAGTTGACTAAAAACAACAACGTGTCAGTGCCGTTTGCAACTGCTTCAACCATACCCACCACAACACAACACTAGTGGTACCAGAGATATACCTTCAGTCGGGTGTCACAAGTGAAACTTACTTACTACTATTTACACTGCAAACCGTGTCAAAATGGCACTGTAAAATCACGAGATTTTAATCAACCCTAACGACTTACCTTTGGAATAATGCCTTACTTCTGAAATATTCTAACCTCTTATCCGCAGAGGAGAACGCAGTAGATAGTTGGCAAGGTCATGACATCCGTATTTTGGGAAACACATGAAATTTGGTGTGTCAATTGCCTTGAAATCTGAGGCCAGATAATCAATAGTGATCGTTACATGGCTCAATTGTTGCAATTGAAGAAAACCGCGAAAAGCAGCTAAAAGTCCTCTTTCAACAAAACGATGCGCCTTGTCACAAGTCGTTGTGTACCATGTCCAAATTAAACGAATCATACTTAAATTGCTTTCGTATCCACCGAATTTGACTCCCAGACATTATTAGGTATTCGTAGACCTCAAAAATGATGCTCTAGGTGAAAGATTTGCTTCCGATAAAAAGTTATTCTACAAGAGAGATCTCGAAATGCTAGAAAAGCGCCGGAATGATTGTATTATTCGCAGAATAAAGTACGTTGATGAAAAACTAAAATTTGGCCAAATTTTTTTTATTGTTTTTTTTCTTGGGGGGAGGGATTGAATATGGATCATTCTCCTTTACAAACCGAACTAATTTTGGCAAAAAATGTCCTCATTACCTCCGATTTTTTTTATAAGCTCCTTTCATAAAATAAGGAAACCCATATCTCGGGAAAAAATTTTGAAATTTTTTTCCTAGGAGATATTGACCCATATTGTTCATATCCATATCTTAGAAGCCATATTTCAGGCTCCATAAATGATATAAACTTGAAATTTGTTGCATTTTAAATGTAATTGACTTTAGACTTTTAAGAAATAGATTAAACAATTAAGATTGTTTACATTAAAATACTAATATTAAACGTTGAATTTCAAAAAAAAATGTATCCCCAGAATTTTCATTTTTTATATTTTATTTAGATTCAGTTTTTGAAACTTTTCAATTTTTTGTTTTCTCCCGCAAAACACATCGAACACAGACGTACTATATTTCCATTGAATGAATTTTCAATGAATATACTACAAATATTCTTATATAATATTTTTGATTTCCATTAGCAATAAAATTCCATATAAATCTCAAGAATATCAGACCAATATTGTCCTTAGAAGTACTTTTAAAAAATTACTTTATCCTTCACATCACACCAAACACATACACACGACTTTTCTGTTAAAAAAAAAAAAAAGGTGGAATATGCCACATAAATTTTTCTTTTTTAGTTTTAACTCAGATTAACCAACAAATTCTACTTAAAAAATAAATATTTCCAACTTGACATTGCTTTTAGAAGTAATTAAAAAAAATTAATTTATCAGACATCCTATTCGTCACTCATACGCACCGTTGTACCATTAAATAAATTTTTTTTTTTTTCTTTTTTTCAAAAAAAGAAATTCATAGAAATGTTTATTTTTTATTTTTAAATTGAATATATATTAACTTCTACATAAAATTTAAATATTTCAATTTAGTTCCGCATCATCCCTATTTTTAAATTAAGAATTTTAATTAATTAAACCGTTTCGTGAACTTTTTTCTTATACTCATGAATTAAAAATTTAATTAATTCCACACTAGCTGATCTACCTACATAACACATTATTACACCTACATTTTTTGGTGAAGTGTTATTCTGCTGCAGTTGGAAAAATACTCTACACAGTTAAGAAATATTATGGGAAATAAACTTTTTACCCGCGTAGGTGAAAAATTGCAGTAGAGTTCGTCCGCATCTTCGGCGGAAGGACCAGGTGACCAACAATTTAGGGACACTCAGTGCTAGTAACTGGCGACAACAAGCAACTGATCAGGCTACTCAACCTGATCGGGTCAAGGACGACTCACCTCTGTAATGTAATTATCACCTCTGTAATGGTGAGAATTATCTCCCGATGTGTTAGCACGATGAGAGAACACTTAAAAGTATAGTTGCCAAAATGCTGATTTATATTCAATTTTTTTTACTTTTTCTTTAAACATACTTTATTGTATATGAAAAGTACAATCTCAACTATTTGTTAATTTATTACTTTTGCTGATTTGTACTTAATAAGTATTAAGTAATACGTGTGTGAACCAGTGCTCAGCTCCCAGTTTTATAATCAATGTAGATTTGTACTCAATAATTCCACTTTGTTGCTATATTAAGTTTGGGCTTTAACTGGTTATAGTTAAAAATACAGTTGAAGTGAGCCATCTCATCGTTACTATGACATTTTATAAAAAAAACGAACTACTGAATGACAGATTTATACTCACTGATAGATTTATACTCAATGGTTCTACTTTATTACTGTAGTTAGTTTGTTCTCTAACTGCTTGCAATTAAATTGTGCCACCCTATAGTTACTATGACATTCTATTAAAAAAAAAAAAAGATGAAAGCATAAATAAAAAATCCTTTTCAAATTAAATGTTTTATTTTGAAATAGAATTCTTTTTCACCTTTTAAAAAAGAGTGAATGCTAATGAAAAATAATTTTTAACAATTATAAACAAATTTTACTCAAAGTCTGCATAATTGTATATTTGGGTAAATGAGCGTATTCAATTACGCTTCCAACCATAATCGCCATTGCCAACCGTAACCATGTTGTACATCAGATACTTAAACAAATAATAAAATTCAAATAAAACGCATTTAATTACGAAAATTTAACACAATTACGACTCAGTGTCCAATTATGTTTTTTCTGTTTCTGTTTTTGTTCCTGTTCCTGTGTTTGTTGGTGGGGAATTGTTTTAAGTACTCGTACATATAATACCGCGTATTGAATTGCATTAGGTATTAAAAACTCTGAGGAAACTAGGAAAGGGGTTGCATTTGAGTACTTCAGTTAGCTGTTAACAAATGCTCGTATAAAAAATAAGTGTGGTTTTCCGATAAGGTAGTCGGTACACCACCTAGCAAATTTACAACATTACAATAGCACCGCCATTGAAA